GCAGCCCAGCCACTGGAGTTCGCCCAGTTCCCTTTCTACCTGAGCGGACTGCGTCGCACGGCTGACTTCGTGGAGGCGATTGAGAGCGTGCGGGCTATCTGCCGGGAGGCTGCCCAGCGCCACGGGGTGCTGAGCTACCCCAGCGGCTACCCCTTCCTCTTCTGGGAGCAGTACATCGGCCTGCGCCACTGGTTCCTGCTGGCCATCAGCATCCTGCTGGCCTGCACCTTCCTCGTCTGTGCCCTGCTGCTGCTCAATCCCTGGACGGCCGGCATCATCGTGAGTACGCACCCCGATGCGTGGGGACTGGGGGGTGACCGGCTGTGTTGCCCTCCTGACGGCTGGGTAAGGGGACATCCAGCCCTGCTCCCATCCTGCTGGGTGGCCCTGGGTATCTGCTTCATGGGGATGGGGTGATGGGGGTGGCCAGGGGCACCCTGGGTGGAAGGGACACCCATATGGAGGTGGCAGTGGGTGGGTGATCCATACGAGGGATCAGGGACGCCCATTATGAAGGGAACATGTGTAGTGGGCAGGGGTTTGGGGACATCCATGCAGAGGAGGGTGAAGGCTACCCCCGACAGATGGGACAGAGGGGTACCCCAAATAGAGGGAAAAGGGGCAATGGGGTGAGGCTGTCCTACATGGAGGGGTAGGATTGGGCATGCCAGACGGAGGGGCAGAGGGGACAGCCGGTCAGAGCCACCCCTCAGTGACCCCACCCCCCTCCCCAGGTGTCCATCCTGGCCATGATGGCAGTGGAGCTGTTTGGCATCATGGGGCTGATGGGCATCAAGCTGAGTGCCATCCCCGTGGTCATCCTCATCGCCTCGGTGGGCATCGGTGTGGAGTTCACCGTCCATGTGGCCCTGGTAAGCACAGGCAGACCCCTGCCCGGCTGTGGGGCACCCCAGTTCCCACTCTCCGGCACCCTCACCCCCCCTTCGCCCCATGTGCCGATGAGTGGCCATGTCATGAGTGGCACAAGGGGACGAGCCCCGCGTGACATCCCCATCCCATGCAGGGCTTCCTGACGGCTGCAGGGAGCAGGAACGTGCGCTCCGCCGCAGCACTGGAGCACACCTTCGCCCCCGTGATGGACGGTGCTGTCTCCACCCTCCTGGGCGTCCTCATGTTGGCTGGCTCCGAGTTTGACTTCATCATGAGGTGAGTGCCAGAGGGGGCTAAACCAGCTGCTTGCTGCCCCCCAAAAGTTTTGGCAATGGGAGCTGGTGAGTGTGGCAGCCCCCTGGCTGGTGGTGGGGATGTAGGGCAGCTGGCGAGGACGTGTCTTGCTGGGGGTGGCAGCTTGCACGGAGGCCGGGGAGTCATGATGGGGCTAGGGTGTGTGGTGTGGGAAGCTGTGTTTGGGGTGGGACAGGGTTCATGGCGGCTGTGCCCGCTTACCCCCTCTGCCTGTGCCCCCCCCCCAGGTACTTCTTTGCGGTGCTCACCATCCTGACGCTGCTGGGGCTGCTCAATGGGCTGGTGCTGCTGCCAGTCCTGCTCTCCGTCATCGGGCCACCCCCTGAGGTACAAGACCTCCATCCCACCTCTCCCTGTCCCAACCCTGTATCTACATCTCCTCATCCCCCATTGCCCCTCACCCTGTCCCCTCTTCACCCCATACCCATCCTTGCCTTGTCCAGTCCCAACCTCGCCTCATACCCACCTTGGCCCATCCCTCACCCGGTACCATCCCTGCTTTCCCCCATCCTTTCTCTGCCCCATATCCAACTTGCCCCATTTCTACTTGACCCCATTCCTGCCTCACCCCACACTCGACTCCCCCTATCCCTCCCTCACCCATTTGACCCCATCCCTGCTTCACCCTGTATCTCCCTCACCCCACATAGCCCTCACCCCATCCTCACATCACCCCATACTCCCTGCCACCCCACACTTCTCCATCCCTGTATGTCCCTGGTCCCTCTGACGCTGTCCCCTCTCTCCCCAGGCATCCCTGGTGGATAACGGCCCCCACCTGCCCCCGCCGGCACCGGTGCCCCCGTGCCTGGGCCCTGGGGGGCTCTATGTACGTCGCGCCCCAGCCTGGCCCGCCGCCTTCCCGGACCCCTCGGACACGGAGTGCTACACGGAGGGCAGAGGGCCGGGCAGCCCCCGGGGGCCCTTCATTGTGCCCCCCGCTCCGGCACACATCCTGCTGGAGGCTGGCAAGGACCCCAGCTTCCCCCGCATCACCGTGAGTGCCTGCCTGCTGTGGCATCGCTGGGTCCCCAGCAGCCCCTCAGAGAGGGTCACAGATAGAACTGGGGGACAGGGGCTCCTGGGGCTCCTGTGGTGCTGGTGGGGTTGCCAGCGGGATGCTCGGCATGGCTGGGGGCCCTCATGCTCCATATCCCCCCTCCAGGTGCTGAAGCCCTACAAGGACAGCCCGGAGGTCCAGGGGAAGAAGGAGGGTCCTGGCCTGCAGCCCACAACCCCCCTGCCCTTTGAGGAGCCGTGCCCCGCGCCGCCCCGAGACTACCCGCAGCCCTGTCCGCCGGGCGCCCGGCCAGCACCCACCGCAGCCCTGCCCACCTACAGCACCCACCTGCAGGGTCCCGTGGGCAGCTACGCCACCGTCACGGCCACCGCTTCGGTGACGGTGGCCCTGCACCCCACGCTGCCTGGCTCCTACCCCAATTTCGGTCCCGAGGGCTTCGCCGGTGGTGAGCAGGACTGCCTGGAGGAGCCCAGCATGCCCAGCACCGGTGGCGCCGCCGTGCCCGATGCCTTTGAGATGCAGAGCATGGGACGCCGCGGGGCAGGCACCCGGCGCTAGGTGAGCTTGGGGACATGGGCACCTTAACCTGGGGCTCGTGCACGGCAGCATGGGGATGCAGGTTTGGAGGAACCCGGCTGACCCCCTCCCCGTTCTCCCCGCAGGTTGCTGGCTCCTGGGCAGAGCATCTCCCCAGCGCCTGGCAGGCACAGGAGGGTACACAGCGGGGTCGCCCGCATCGTGCTGCTAATCGCCGGAGCGGTGATGCCACCCGGTCTTGGCCGAGGAGGACTGGCCCCCCCGCACCCCCCCCCCCCCCAAAGGGGCCCGGCAGAGCGGGCTGGCACTTCTATGCAAGCTGTGTGCAGGCCATGCCCTGCCCGCGTGTTCCCCCACCCGGGGCTGTGCTGATGGTGCCGTGTCCCCTCACCCAGGGTTTAGGGTTACCCTGCCCCAGGCTTGTTGCCCCCCCAGAAATGGAAGCACTAACTCCCCCCTCTGTTTCTGGAGCTGCTGACAAGGTGGGCTCGGTGCCCTGCCAGCTCCCCCTCTGTGGGGTCACTGCCTGCTCCCTGTCACCTCCTCCTGGGAGCCCCCACCCAGGCCACAAGCTGGGGTGCCCCAACAGGGTGACCTGATGCCCCCCCGTCCCAATAAGGGGCAGCCCCACAGCTAGCCATGCCCTGGGGTGCCATGGGCAAGGCCTGGGGCGGACACCCCCCACCTTTATTTATTGCAAAGGGAAACTATCTATAGAGAGATATATATTTTTAAGCTTATTTTAAAAGATTTATTTCTCAGCCTACGGCCTCGCCCGGCTGCCCAGGGTGCAGGCAGGGAGGGGGCAGACCCTTGGCCGGTGCAGGGCTGCCTGCCGGAGGCTGCAGGAGTCTGGGGCAGGGGTGCAGACCTGATTCACGCCCCCGCTCCATGGGGTGCTGGGTGGCCACGGGCAGCTCACCCCCTCTGACATGCTGCTCGGTGCCTCAGTTTCCCCACCGGCGAGCACGGGAGGGCTGGAGATTGGGGACGTGCCACGGCAGAGCCAGGGAGCCTGTTGCTCCCACCGCACAGGCAGGGTTTTGGGGTGGGGTCCTTGCTGTGCCGAGCCTCTGAGCTGCCCCACGGTCACAGCCCCTCGTGCCATACTTGTGCTCTGCCTTGGTGACAGCACGTGCTGGTGCACACATAGGGCAGTGCACACTCATGTGGGCACCCGTGGTACCACCGGGCACATCTCACTGGGAAAACATTTCTCACCGTGTCCCCGTGCAACGGGGCTGTCCCTGAGGTCAGCCCCTGTCCCCCGTCCCCATCCCGGGCACCATCCGCACCATTACCCAGCACTTTAACTCCAGCGGTGTTTGCCGTGCCCGTGGCCCCGGCCCCCCCTGGCCCCCAGACACTGCCGCTGAGCTGGGGTGGCCTTGGGGACCCCGTGCCAGGCGTGGGCACGGCGGGGAGCCCCCCCCCC